GCAGAAGAAATTAAAATATGGCAGAATTTGAAAGAGTGGAAATGTTTTCTTTCATGCGAATTTCCAGAAATTATCTTTTTTTAAATAAAAACTGCTTTTACATTATCAGTTGTACGACTAGAAAATAAGTTGCGAAATCCTCGCGCAATCGAATTGAAAATTAACCCCACGCAATGGGATTTCGTCAGACTCGTCAATTAGGAGGAACAAGTCGACTTCGTTATAAATTGCCTACTTCTCCAGAATTACGTACACAAATCGGAGAATTTGGACTCGGTGGATGTTGAACAGTGATGGCTTAGCGGTGTTTGTAAAATAGATTGTACACTCGGGTAAAAGCCAGTGGGAATAAAAAACTTCCAAAGAAGCTGGAATAATAATCGAATTTTTCGAGACGTCAAACTTACGCACAGGGCATTAGATTGTGTTGGCGCTTTTATTTTCAGCGTCATCATCAAGACTGACAGTTGAAATATATTTATATTGCTTTTTTTGTTGTTGTTAAGCTACTCTAAAACTAACAACACAAAATTTTCAAATACCTTATTAATAATATTTGTTATCATTACAAAACTAGATTTATTATCTGACTTTAAAAATCTCAGTAACCCCTTTGTTTGAAATAGATTGGCTGGTTTGCTTTGTTGATGTACATTTTACAGGTAAGATCTTGCTTAAAAGGTAAGTCATGTCAGGGAGACAGATTTTGATATTTTCTTCATTTTGTAAGGACTGAGTACGTTTAACTTGTAGTAACGTGACTTCTGCATTCTTTTAACCTATGATTAGGTACAAGGTAAACGCTTCCAAAACAACATTGGAATATCATAACACAAATAAATACTTTATACATACTAATCACCTTCTGAATAATGAACACGCAAAGGCTAGTGAAAGAAATGTATTTGAATATTAACATGCATAAAGGCACAAAGAAATGGTATTTATCATGCCTTAAAACGCAAAAATGGTAATTGATGTAAATACATAAGCTTTTACTGTACCATCGCGAAACTGATACAATGGTTACATATTTTTACATTGTCGGACATGAATAATCAGAAGTTAGAATTATTGTGTAATAACAAAACCTACCAGTTTTATGCCTCTAGATATACTAATTATTATTGCGTTGAAGAGCTAGCAAAGTTAAAATTACAGTAGCACAAAGTCTGTCAGTTATACCACCCTAGGTAAACATATTATTATCATGTTAAGGAGAAAGACAAGTTAAGATAATGGAAACACTAAGTCTGCGAATGATAACAATCTAAATTAATTTGATTATCATTAATTTCAGTAGTGAGCCAAATCAAAATAATAGCAGCACATATTTTTTGACTCATGCTACTCTATATAACATTATTACTATTACGTTCAGGAGTAAGACAAGTCATATTATTCTAGACAAACTGCCCCCAGTGGCACGGCGGTATGTCTGCTGACTTACAACGCTAGAAACCGGGTTTCGATACCCGTGGTGAGCAGAGCACAGATAGCCCATTGTGTAGCTTTGTACTTAACTATAAACAACAACTAGACAAACTGGTTAATATTTGTTGTTCAGAGTCAAAGTATAGATAAAATGAACCAAAAAAGTCTTAAAATTTGTCATGCTTCATTAGAGGACTTCGGTTTACTTGAAAATACACAAAGTAATCGAGTGAAACAAATTTACTGGCAATCTTTTACGTAACATTATACAAATAGAATGTCCAAAACCAAATTGTTTTTAGACAGTATATCTGCAGCTCTGTGTTTCATAACGTTTGATATGTTCTGTTTTTTACTTTTTAAAAGTTTATTTTCCATTGTTTTTTTCCTAATGTTTTCATAAAATTACACAAGACTTATCTGTGTGATCGGTGTCCTTAATTTTGAATTTGTAACCGAGAATATAGATAATTAGTCAACATCACTCACCACAAACTCTTGGGTGACTACTTTCATTTGACTGAATAGTAGGATTTGACCGTCACTCTTATAATGCACCCACAGTCGCAAAGCGCTAACCACGATTTTGCAGCACCGAGACGCGAACCATGGACCTTCAGAATCACAGTCCGGCACACTAATCACTAGACCTCACCAGATCCCAGTGTCCATTAACATCCATCATTTATTTATAGTTCTGTTTAATTTGCCGAGCCTCAACTGAAAAGCTTTATATTATTATTATTATTATCTAATGGTTCGATCGAAAACGCTAAATTGTTTGGTTAACCGTTTGCTCACGATTTGGTTTACTAAAATAGTCCCTATTTCTGTGTTATTGCATTAGATAAAATGAGTTACCACTGTTTGATAAAATAATGTTATTCACAGATTCCATTGAATCGATATTGTGTCTTTAGCCAAACTTCAGCTTTATATACATCTCAGATATTGTGTTTCCTGGAAAAACACAAACTTATATCTGATTTTGGTTGGAGCATTCTTCACTTGAGTGCCCTTAATTTCTCCCACAAACCATTTCCTCTCCGAGCTTGCCAGAAATGGCATCCGTTAGTACGAGATGCCATTACTTGGCACATCACGTGATCATTGGGTAATAAGTCTTCGTTGGTTGAAAAGGGGGAGGACCAAACAACAAACTAAATAACAGAGATCAAAACTATTTACCACATTTTTTCTGATTTACTGAGAATTGTGATGGCTGAATTAAGTGTTTCATCTACACTTAACCATTAAAATCTAAACTTTTATAATACACACCCTTAGCAGTGAAACACAAGAAGACGAGGAAACCTCGCGTGCAGAAAACGACAGAAAGATGGCAGTACGCGCGTAAAACACAAATATTTGCCCAGCTTCCCGCAACTTGTAGTAAGCCTATTATCTCTTGTATGATTTAGGAGGAACTGTTAGTTCTTGGGTCCTAATCAGACGTTATTGACTCATGATGCATATACAACGAGGAACATTTCTAAGTGCTGCACAGGATAGTTTTTCATGTTTCGTGTTTTTCTTGGCAGATTACTTTTTCTTTTTACTTTCTTGAGTTAAGTTTATGATTCACCAGATTTGAAATCGTGAAACGTTTCGGCACTTCAAACAGAAAATATTCAGTATGAACAATAAATGGGAAAAGTGTCGTAGATTATTTTAGAACAAAGAAAATATTCAGTATGAACAATAAATGGGACATAGTGTCGTAGATTACCTCGCATTATAAATGGAGCAAAGTGATGTAGGTTGTTTGAAAGGAATACAAAAGAAATAATATAAAATCTTAAGTAGCGCAAAGTTTCGAAAATTATTTTAAGTTATAGAAAAGTATTCACTATGGACAATAAATTCAGCAAAATGCTTCTACTCATCTTAAAATACAAGTAGGCATTTAATATGAAAACAAGTAGATCAAGCTATTGCAAATTATTTATGAAAATATCGAAAGGTATCCAGTTTCAACAGTGAGTTGAGAAGATTTCTTAATATATTGGAAAGCATTCAAAACAGACAGAAAAGGAGCAACGTGTTGCATTTATTCGACTATAATATAGAAACTATTTAATATAGATATACAAAGTAAAACCAAGTGTTGTAATTTATATTGGTGGAACATGAGAAGATATTGAATTGTTTTATAAGTTCTAAAATAATCTACGACACTTTTCCCATTTATTGTTCATACTGAATATTTTCTACACTACACTCTAAGATAATATTTGACACTTTGTCCCATTTATTGTTCATACTTAATAGTTTCTTTGTTCTAAGATAATCTACGACACTTTTTCCCATTTATTGTTCATACTGAATATTTTCTGTATTCTAAGATAATCTGAAACATTTTGTTTCATTTCTTATTCATGCAAAATATTTTCTACATTCTAAGATAATCTACGACACTTTGTCTCATTTATTGTTCATATTTAATATTTTTTTGCATTCTAAGATAAGCTATGACACGTTGTACAGTTTATTTTTCATACTTAATATTTGCTATGGTTTAAGATGATCTATAATGTTTTGCTTTACTTATTGTTTTCTTTAATCTCACTTAGAACAATTCCGTATCTTAATGTGTTTGTTAAAACACCGTGTTTTGTTTGGTTATTACCTGAAAAGTATTTGAGTAATCCATCTGTCCACTTTGTGTTTACGATACCAGAGCTTCGTCAACTTCAAACAAAATATTTTATAAAATTGCCAATGTATTTGCATGAAGAGAAAGGACAAATTAATATATACATAACGTCTCGATACAGTCATTAATGCTCTAATCGTTATGTGTCAGACTTTATTTTCATATTGTTATATTTCTTGAGAAATCTATTGTATACTTCGTTAGCATAAAATGGTAATTTATTTTCTATTTATGGCTGCATTTAGGACTGTGCGTGGTTTGTAGTTAGTGTGCCCAAATTGTATATCTGAGAATTCATGGTTCACATCCCTCTTAGGCCAAAACGTGATCCAAGTTTTGGATCCATTGTGCTCTATGAGTGGTAGTGAAATCCCACTATTCGATCAGAGAAGAGTTCCCCAATAGTTGGCGGTGGGTGCTATTGAATAGCTGCTTTCCCTCTAATCTGTCAGTTCAGAATTAAGGACAGTTATATACAGATAGTTCTTGTGTAGAAAACTTTAAAAAAAAACGACCAAATTTCACAAATATTACAAAACGAAAATTACCTTAACTATGAGCTAGATTTTGCTTGTTTGTTGTTAAGCAAGAAACTGTACAATGGGCTATCCGTGCTGTGCCCACCGCTGGTATCGAAATCCGATGATCAGCATGAGAAGCCCTCAGACTTACCGCTGAGCCATGTAGGGGTGTATGAGCTAATACAAACGCGTTAATTATGCATTATTGTAAACGAAGTGTTATGCTTTTCTGGTTAGTTTTGTGAAAATGTTTTACAGAACTTATTTACAAGTAAGCCTAATAACTGGCATGAAGAACGTACAGTACATGGCTTTTAATGTTCAAACGCTATTTATAAAAACATTAAATTTTACATAACTAAATGAAATTTGATGTCCTCTAACAACAGAGTGCCCACCAGCTGAAGATGGAACAGACAGATTTGCATGTCCCACCCCTGACAGAATGAGTCGGTACCGATGCATAGACGATCATGAGCTGTGCGATGGTTTCATTGACTGTCCTCAAGGGGAAGATGAAGATAGACAAGCCTGTATGTTTTATAAAACGGTAAGCTATGAAACAGTATATTTTATACACTTTAATACCTCCTGCTATATAAACCAGGGGAAGTGGAATTGTATTAGCAAATAAGTTAGGCCTAATGTTAATTACACCTAGTTAATGTTGTTTTTTTTTATGAGGACTCCTATTTTCTTGGATCGTTCAAACGAAAGTTTACCTGGAAGATTGAGAACATGTTTAAAGTGAAACAAATAATAGTAATAATAACAATGTTACGTGTTACTGTTATTCTATTACTTTGTTTCACAGTTTGTTGCATAAACTTTTTTTTCTCAGCCCAGTTGCTCCCCCTAGTGACCCAGCGGTATGTCTGTGGACTTACAACGCTAAAATACGGGTTTCGATACCCGTGGTGGATAGAGAACAGCTAGCCCTTTGTGTAGCTTTGTGCTTAACTACAAACTAACTAACTAAACTAACTCAGCCCAGTTACATGTGTTGAATCACCCTTATTTATTACTATTTCGTGTTTGATTTCGCAAATATTTGGTAAATATCTCTTCACAGGATGTAAGCTATTTAGATAGTTAGTGAATACTACCCCTAGTAATCAACCCAATTATGAAAATATACAGATTTTTTTCATAACATGTATATAACTCTCATAGACAATTTGTGTACAACTGTAGTTTGCTTGAAAAATATAGTTCTAAATTCTCTTTTTTTTTAGTTCTTGGATCACTTTTTTTTCTAAGGATTTTCAGATAACTCAGTGAAACATCAAAGTAATTATAGTTTGAATCCTGTTTTTGGTCTTTTTAGTTATTTCAAGTTATTGCGCAGGGTATCTCTTCTACTTTTAAATGCCCCCCAGTGGCACAGCGGTATGTCTGCGGACTTACGACGCTAGAATCCGGGTTTCGATACCCGTGGTGGGCAGAGCACAGATAGCCCATTGTGTAGCTTTGTGCTTAATTACAAACAAACAAACAAAAAAACAAGCTTTTTTTGTTTTTTGTTGGACAAAGAAAATTAATAGTTCTGGAAAAAATGTTCCAGTGCAGGCTCGTCGTAGAAACGCCATCTACTAAAACCAGAAGAAGATGCGAGGAATTCTCATGAGCTC